ACAGCAAGACGTTCATCCATTAGCTCCTACTAAGAAACTGTAACAGGTTACTTGATGGCAAACATTTTGACTTCTGCCTTTGTCTGAATGGTGACGCCCTTTGCCTCAGAGGGTCTTGAACCCCGGGGAGGGAACCAAATGATAGCTCAGGGTTTTAAGATAAGACAACTTCAATGTCCTCTAAGGGAAAAATGTTAAGGACGCACAACGCTCCACATCACAAAACATTACACATCGCATCTACAGTATTGCACGTGCATAACTCGTCACAACACTGACATGACATAATGCACAGACATAGTCTGTTACAGCATAATCATTCAACCATTTATAATGTTTTAATTGCTTTAATAGATAAGGGAACAAACAAATATTTTTATCTATTTGATCTACATTTGGGAGCCCTAAAAGTTGATATTTAGAATTAAGAAAATGATTTCTTTCTGCCTGTCTAATGGACTGTTTAAAAATTGTCTGTGAGGAGGAGAGCTGCTTCATGTCCATAATTTTGACTGCTGTTTGTCTTTGGAAAATACATTTTTTAACTTACCTGCACCGATAAATCACCGAACCATACTGTTATACCATATTTAATAACGCTCGTAATTACTATGTCGTTGCTGAGGATAATAGTTCGTGACCTACAGACTCACTTAAGTTGTCATATGGTCGAAGGTAGAAGCCACACTTAGATTAAAATTAAACAAGCGCAACAATTAGACCCAGTTCCAAAAAGTACACTGTATAGAAAGTACTATCGCGTTTAAATAAAACAGGAGCGTTTCTGAACCTCATGATTGCCCGATGCCCCTAACCTGCCCCAGTAGGGCTTCCAAGACAGATCCTTAATACCGGCCTGAGCAGTGACACCCATCCCCAACCAATCTGTTCTGATTCAGAAGGGCAGGAAATAAGAATCCGGGACCAGTCATGGTCAGTTGGAAACTCCAACATGGTCTCTCTGCGCCGGGAACGCGGGTGGACGTGCCGTGACTGTCACTGTGTGTCGAACATGGATCGAATGAGAAACTGGGGAGATAGAAGGATTGATCACTCAGCCACGCTGGGTGGGGGGGGGTTAAACAGACGGCCCCCGCAGAGCCCGCGCTGGGCACTGCCAAAGCAGACCAAAAGCAATCGCTCAGAAACAGGCCGGAATAAAACCGGCGGCTGTGCGTTGTGTAACATCTTCCGCGGTTCTTAAAATAGCCAGGGCCCGCCTTTCTCGATCCATGCGACCACCTGTTGCCTACCCAGGGTCAGGTCAGTCACAGAGCGGCCCGGCGCCGCTCGGGATGCGACACTCGCGGTTCTGCGTGTGCGCACCTGCACACGCGTCATGTCACTCGTTACCGCTGTTGGGACACTGTGGCTCAGTCTCCGCAGAAACATGCACAGTTCATGCACACTCACGCAGCGGGAGAGAGAGAGACTGCGGGATGAGACTATGGGAGAAAGATAACGAGTGACTAATCCCTATTGCCGGCAGGCATTTTCCTTCCAGTGGCAGACCCGGTGTGAATGTGGCAACGTATTCGCTGTCTGTCTCACCCCTGTCCGCTTGGGAACACATTTGTTTTATTTCCAGGATTATATTGTAACGCAACGGACAATATCTTCTATTATTTTATTAACATATCCACATATTCTGAAGTCAATCCTAAGTATTTAAGGTCGAGGAACGGTCGGAAAACCTTTGCGTTTTCTGTAATGGAAAATTACATAAGGCTCTCTGTCTCCCTTTCCAGCCCACTGTATCGCAGAAGCCTGCGAGTCCAGTGTCGGGAAGCCGCTTATAACATGTCCATTACAGATCCGTCTTAAAACCTGGCAGCCTTTTTCCCGTCCGTGTTAACACACACTCTTGCGCTCCCTGAAATATCAGGGGTTTGGAAAGACATTTAACGTGAAAACCAACATCAGGAACCGGGCAGCGGTATAAGATCAGTTTCTGCTTGCGTTTAATGATAACGCTATAGCGGATCAAGAGGAAATGGCTGGGAACACACTGTATGAGCGAGCTCTCGCCGTGTTTGTGAGCTGTCGCTCAACAGCAGTCTGTACTTCAGCCTCTCAGGTAAATGAGGGCTGTGAAAGAGGTTTCGCCCCTTCACAATCATACCCGTCTGCTGTAATGCACGGGGAGAAGGAGACCTACTGGGAAACAGATTGTCAAGCTGTACATGAGATACGGAGCTCCGAGATGCTAACAACCACCAAACCGGGGGTAGCGTTTATAACAGCAACTGTGCTCCTCATCCTGGTTATCGCGCTGCTAAGGTGTAGCGGTTTCAAGTGGGGGTGCCAAGGTTGTTTCTATATCGGGACTGAACTCCTACTGCACTCCTCTTTAAAGCGCACATTTATGCCAAACTAACCAGGTCTTCCCTGAACAGAAAACTAGCGATCTGCGGTGAAACTCCGACCCCTGACGGGCTGTATTTGATCCGTTCAGACAGGAAACAACGGGTGCAGATGAGAGTTTCCACGCCACGGAAGAGCCGAGCAGCGACGTCGCAGACTCTAGCTACCCCGTCGGTATCGCCCCAATGTGGCACCTAGGAAATACGGTCCCCGTCCGCCCTTCGGGTGCCGAACATTACCGGAGCGAGATACCGCGCACACGGGCATCCTTTAAGACCGGACGCCGCGACAGCGATGACGATAACTGCAATAACCGACGCCACTTACTTTCGGTGATCTTCTGCAACCCCAGCACATCCTCGGGGGTGATCACGGGTTTCCTGAGCAGTTCCTCCTCCGTGGTGACCGGGACCCCTGTTTCGGTGGAGTTACAGCCTTTCTTCACTCTCATTGCCACGAGTGGTTTGGGGGTCGGGGTGTCCTGGGTCTGGTGGTCGCTGCTCTCCGCGCTTCTGCCGCTGCCACCGCTGGGATTATTGCTTTTACTAGTGCCAGACCTCTGAGCGCTGCTGCTGGATGAGTCCTGGCTATTGCAGACAGCCTCTGTGCCGATACAAGAATAGCTCATTCTCCTCCTCCCCCCCACTAGTAAAGATACAAAACACTCTCCCCCCTCTCTCTCCCTCGCTCGCTCGCTCGCTCCCGTCAGTCGCTTCGCTGCTAGTGCGCCCGCTCGGTATTTTATTTAAATCCCCCTGTTCTACAGATCCTTTCCGTTTTCGGCCAGCGACTGCCCAGAGCATCCGCCGCCCGCGCCAGACTGCGCCTGTGCCGGCTCTGTGTTGAGCGCTAGCTCGCCGAGCGCCACTCTCTCCGGCCGAGACGCAAAGGAAGCGGTCTCTCCGCAACACAGACACTGACGGACGCGCACACGCCACAGACATGCACACGCTCTTGTACACAGTGGGGTCCCACTTAGTTTCCCCGGCTTTCGGAAAGGGAGAAGCCTTTGTTTCTGGTGTCACAACGGCGGTAGCGCCAGCGGCCGGAGCGACCGGCGCACGTCTGGGGCGGCGAACGACAGATTCTGCAGCCAGACTCAGACGTGTTTGTCGCCATTCACGCCTGGATAATCGTGAAATGTATCTGCCTCTGTACCGAAACCTCCCCTCTCAGACTTGTGGTATGGCCCATTTTTCTGCGTTGGCAGGAAGCTGAGGAGAAGTTGTCGTTTTTTTTTTCTTCGCTCAGTGGGTTTGGGTAGCGATGTACCCGTGTCTCAGAGCTTGGCTTTGAACGTTTCCACGGGCACGCAGTTTGCAGTAATGTGGTCAAGACGTCGCCCTATTTATTATGAGGATTACGACCAAAATATTGAATAGAAATGTGTTACGTAGCTAACATCCACCATTTATTTATTACAATGTACAGCTACACCACACAGCCCTTGTGAATAGCATTTCATGCCCCCCATACAGTATATATTCAGGAAGTGCAAAAGTCGGGACAATAAAATATCGCAGGAAACAAGTGGGCTAATCTACTTTTAATTTTCAAAGTGTAGCCCAAGATATGTCACTGAAATGTGGTGTTTCTGCGCTACAGCCTTCGCTCCCCGTCTCCGGCGCTGAGGAGCTCTGAGGATCTCGCTGAACTTCTGGATAAATCCGTGTGATGAGTCCGAAACGAACAGAATGTCAGTGCAGGCGGCGGCGGCGGCGGCGCTGAAGTTCAGACATGACACCCGCCGCAGTAACGCCCGGACTTGAGCGACGACCAGCCGCCTCGATACAATCCCCGCCTGCCGTCATCCCAGCCGCCGGAGCTGTCCTGCCTGGCGAAGCACCTCGAAACCGCGAGTGTCAATGTGATCAATTCCAGCAATGACAAAGACGATCTCCCCTGCGCTTAACATCCGCTTAAGGTGGATGCTGCACACTGGTGGTGGTGGAGGGGATCCCCAATTATCTGTAAAGCGCTTTGAGTGGAGTGTCCAGAAAAGCGCTACATAAGTGTCAGCAATTATTATTATAATTAACATGCTGTCTCTCAGTCTGGTGGTGTGTTTCAGGGAGAAGCCCAGAATGTCGGATGCGCCCCTCGCTGCTGGCTCCTGTAGGAAGCCCCCCTGCGCTGTGCTCTCTCGGATCCCGTGAGTACCGCGGTGGGCGGCGACGCTCAAGAGACACGGCGCTGCCATACTTCGCCGAGACCGCACTCGCTGTCGGTGTTGCGCAGGGAAAACTTCGGTTGTTGTTGTTTTTTTTCGGGGAAACATTCAGGGCTCGCTCAGAAACCAGACTCAAGATGTGTCGTTAAAAGACTGTCCACATTTATTCAGGAATAGGATACACAAATTAAATGCAGTTGGCAGTGAGGGGGGTGGGGGACGCGAACGGGTGAATAAAATAATAAAAGCAGAAATAAAATCTAAGCGCAGGAGTCTCTGGCTGCGACATGCAGTAGCGTTGAGGTTCGGAATCTCTCTTTTTCCAGGCCCTGAAAAAAGCCTCAGATTTCCAGATACCAGCATCCCTGAGAAAGACACGGCTTTGCCAGAATCTCTAGGATCGCCCCCCTTGCAAAAGACAAGGATAGGCAGCAGCTTTCCCTTGGGGCTCCCCAGCCATTTTCAGCAGCAGTTACTTCATTCTGTCTATAATTTGCACCCCCTTTTCCTAATCTCCCCAAAGAGCACCAGATATGTGCTCATGCCTGTCGGCAGCAGGGAACCTCAGTTCTGCTGCCAAAGGGCCCTTTGACCTTCAATTTCCCAGCTACCTAACAGACACATTTTTAGTGTGATCTCATCAGGAGCTTCGGCTCCCCTTTCATGAACCGATTTTGGCTGGGAAACGCTGAACGAGATCCCGTGTGCAATCAGAATAATTGAGGGTGTAATCAGGCCACAAATCCAACCGCACACGGGTCCTCCGTGCGTGAGGAGGTCTGAAGGCCCTGCCCTAAGGGTCAAAGTTACATGGACAACCACAGAGGTCAGAGTTGTGAAGAGAACGAGTCCTGGTACTGAAGTTCAGGAAACACTGCCCTCTGCTGGCCATGTGATTGCAGGGCTTGTCTTTGGAGACATTCAATCGCAAAGACTCACTCGCTTTTCATTGAAAAAACCGAGTATTGGTTTTCCTCCTGTCAGAAGTAAGCCACAAGGAGAAGTCCTGAGGGTGGATTTTCACTTACTTAAGCATTTCCGAACTTTCCATGGTTAAATATAACTTATCTGTTACACTTTCTGTCAATTGCGTTATGTTTCAAATACGGGATGGACTGAAATCAAAACAAACAACTGAACAAAACAAAGGCTAAATGGTATATGAAGTATGATAATGATAAATAAAAAACAAAAATCACTATTTTTAAAAAGTCCAATTTTGCAGCAGGGGAATTTCTTTAGCTCCCGAAACAGAATGCACAAACCAACCCATCAAGCGCTGTTCTTGTCATTATTATAATTATTATTGTTGTCATTATGAGGATAAAAAAAAATCAATTATATATGTCCAGTAAGCAAGAAACACTGTGGCTCCAGTCTTCTTTCAGAGTTGGGCAATAACTTTGGCAGAGGGCCGAATCGCAAGCACTGCCTTATGAACTAGCCGACCTCCTTTTGACTAAGGATCAGTGGCTCCCCCCTGTCTGCAAGCAGAGCTGTTCCCAGTAATGACACTAACAGCGGTGATGGCTGGTCTGTGAGGGGTGGACAGAGGGAGCTCAGCTGTGTGTGGAGCTCCAGTGAGTCGGCCCGGGGGCGGGCTGACCACTGGGGTCACTGTGGCCTTTCCTCAGGCCGTGAACTCAAAGCAGCCCCGGCGGTACCACTGCATGTCCTTCACTCGGCGGATGGACTGGATCTGGGGGTGCTGGCCGCCCCATTCGTTCCAGTGCTTGTAGGGCCCACACTCGAAGACGTACTGGTAGCCACGGTAACCGGGATACTGGTACCCCACCCAGCTACGGAGAGAGGGAGAAGAGCGAGTGAGAGCTGTGCCTTCACGAGCCTCCTGCGGAGAAGACGAAGCCCAAGGCTAGGATCGCCATGGAAAGACGCTATATGAACTCCAGACTGACGACTGATTGAGACTCACGTTCCCCCCATGACTTGGATGCTGGCCACGCGGTCCTGGAAGCCATAAGACCACAGGCTGGGGATATCCTCGTCACACACCTCCATCTTGCGCCCCTCGAAGTTCACGCACTCGAACAGGCAGATCTTGTGGTCCTGGGCGTCCTAGAGAGAGAGCAGTCCGGGGGCTGCTGTCAAAGCACCACTTTTTCTTTCACGCGAAAAGAGTTTTTGCACAATTTTGCATTCCAGGCGCTAGACTCTGCAGCGCCCTTCTTGCGTAATCCCGATGCTTGTAGGAACCAGGTCTCTGCTGATGCATGTTGTGAACTTAAGTCATACTGAACGTATGACTGTGTTGAAAAACAACACTCATTAAGCCTCTCTATGCAGATTAAAAGTCATCTGTCTGAAGAAGCAGGCAGCATAGACTTGGTTATCCCCCATCTCCCATCTCATATTGTAAAAGAATTAATGAATTCCTCACACTTATATTGTGTTTTTTTGGTCACTCCACTCAAAGCGATTCACAGGTAATGGGGATCCCCTCCACCACCACCAGTGTGCAGCCCCACCTGGATGATGTGCCAGTCCTCTCACCACACACCAGCTCTCAGAGGGGAGGAGAGCAGAGCGATGAAGACAGTTCAGAGATGGGGATTATAAGAAGGCCATGACTGGTAAAGGCCAGGGGGAAATTTGGCCAGGACACAGGGGTAATACCCCTACGGGATTAATAAAGTATTATCTATCTATCTACTCTTTTCGAGAAATGCCCTGAGATTTGTAACGACCACAGAGAGTCAGGACTTCAGTTTTAGTCTCATCTGAAGGAAGGCGCCTTTATAATAAGAAGAACTATTATATAATATAAGAACTATTAATGACAACGTCCCGGTGTGACAGAACAGAGAGAGGCCTGAGAGCTCACCATACGGACTGGCCTGAAGGACATGAACCGGTCATTTCTGTAGCTGTTGGTCCAGGTGTCCCAGCGGGGATATTCTCCCTTCTCCAGCATGAACATCTCGCCGGTGAAGTTCTGTTGGTCGTACCCAACCCAGCTGAACAACAACAGGAGGACAACAAAATGGCGTCAAACACTCCACTGTAGCTACCAGCCTGCCAACACAGACTGGTGCAAAGTTCCCTTTCACAGCTTTGCAGGCTAACCCATCAGCCCTGATGAGGAAACATAGCCTCTGAGTTAAAGAGCTGTGTATCTACCACCGGGTTTACGGCCTGTGCTCTTGACACATTGGTGCTGACTGAGGATTGCCCACTCTTTGGGAATCCAATGTTGGTTAGGCATTTGACTCAAAAATATGAATTACAATAAAGAGGGAACACATCAGAAAAAAGCAGGCAGTTCAGTTACACAATTCTGTGTTTTTCAAAAGGATGTGGTTGGCAAATCTTCATTTTTTTGCATAGGGCGTGTACCATATTCTCCCAAGACCATACGTACAGAAGCACTGTAGCCCACGTCATCACAGCAGAGGCAGTTAAGTTATGGTTTTAGTCTAGATTCTGAGCTGAGGAAATGAAGTTCTACGCAGGTTTAGAGTATCACCTCTCAAGCTCCAGTCTCCATTCTGGAAATGAAACGGACACTAACAAAGGATACTGTCAAAGAGTAACCCAATCTAACGACGGGGGCCACTGGCAAAGCTTTTTTCCTCTGCAACAACGCAAGCCCTCTGTCAGAAAGTTTCAAATTAGACGGCAGAGCTCCAACACCTTTCCTGTTGGTTGTTTTAGTCCCCAGAAGGATCTGAGTTGCTTTGAAATATTGCTTTCACATTACATTTACGCAAAATTCGATAAAATAATTTAGACGGGGGTTAAAAAATAAATTCCGTTTTAACCATGGGTATAAATTACAGGACGTTAAGTGTTTTAAAATGAGGACTTACACCTTTTTTAATTGGCTGGTACTAATCAGATTAGCACCACAAACACAAACGTTTTTTAAAAATTATGTTTTGCGTGTGTTAGGTATTGTGTTATCTCGTGTTGTTGATGTTTATGGGGGTATTTTTATTCAATAAAGTAGTCAGTTTAAAAAAGCGAAGTCTCGTGGCGACCGTCCCTCACTGCCGCCCACTAGCGGTAGGAGCCACTGCAGGCGAGGCAATGCGAGTTGTACTTGTAACGAAATGACAATCTGTTGCAATTACATTTGCAATTACTGAGCAGCAGGTGGCGCCCTTGACTTTACGTCAAATCTGGTGAGGGTAAACTTAATACAAAATAATATCCGCCTATTTTAGGAGCTTGGAGGTATCAAACTCCTGTTATCTGCGACGCCCCAGCTCCCCTTACGAACCATTCCAACATTGCAAAGGCGCCGTTAATGTTATCTTCGCTTTTTAATGGAGTCCCCGTGTCCAATACGTATCTTTCTGAAATGCTAATCGATTTGGCAATGATAATGCGACTAGGTAAGTTAATACTTGAACACCCCCCATTTCTGACACGCATGTAATCGATTATGACGCCGATCCCCACGACAGCTCCTCTCTACAGCAGATGCACAGTCTCTCTCCGTGTCTCGGCAGCGCTAGGTCGACTTACGGGCCGCACTCCACGCGGATGGAGCCCACTCTGTCGAAGCCCCGGTCGCACAGGTTGCGACACTCGGCGTTGAACTCGATGTGCCGTCCCTGGAAATTCTCATATTCCCAAAAGCAGATCTAAAAGAAACAAAAAGCATATATATATATCTTAACAACGAACTCCATTTAACATACCATTTTCCCTTTCAAGCGGTTTGTCCTTCTCCCTTGTTTAAGTTCAGTAAGCAGTGATTGACCTTAAATGAACTAATCCAAAACGTTATTTTTGACCACAAGGTTAACCTACAGTATACGGGCATGATCAGGAGGATCTAAAGTATGCTGAGGTCATCAGCGTCAGTGCCTTATAAAAAATATCAACCTCCCCCATGTGCCTTCTTCAAAATCCTCTGGCCACCCCCCTCGTCTTATTGACAACGCATTAGCTATCGGGCCAAGCGCCCCTGCAGTGCTGGAAATCATCTTTAAAAAACAGGCGACTCATTCGCTCCGGTCGAGTCAGTGGGAGCTGTGGGGTACACATGGGCGGGACCCCCTGAACAGACCCCGCGGGCAGACTCCCCAGAGAACCTACTTTGTAGTTGCGCAGGCCGACTGCGGGATGACTTCCGATGCTGCCCTGGGCTCCGGAGTGCGACATGGCGAGGGGGGCTGGGGGGGAAGAACAGAAATCAAGCGGACAGTCCCATGACACCACTCCAGCGTGACCGGGGGGGCTCTGAAACACGGCAGCGCGGCCGCTAATCCCCTGAGCCGAAGGCTCTCCCGAGAGCACGCCTAACCCGAGAGAGGCGGACAGACCCTCGCGCCTTTAGATCCCTGGATTTTGTCACTCTGCTTCCACCTCTTCGAGTCGAGATTGTATCAGCTACTATCCGGCCACTACGCACAGGCACATAGAGTATAATCCTCACACCAGGATCGCCCCAGCAGTACCGCCAGTGGGCTACGTTTCCATTGATTATCAAGGAGACAACATTTCCTGCGTAATAAAAATAATTATCCCTTAAAATGCTTTTTTTATTAGCTCATTCACAGGGAAATAGTCCCCCTGTGAACCCGTTCGCTCCTGCCTGAGACCACATTTCACGTGTTCCCCCCGAAAAACTAATTTAATTGACCCAATCCAGCAGAAACTAGGACGCGCGTTCAAGACTGTAGGCTAGATTCAGGAGGCCTAATGCAGCAGCGCCCCCTGCTGGGCGGGGGGGTTTGCAAGCTGGTGCTGAAGATCTGTCTCTTCTGCGAAAGACATGTCCGCACAGGCCCCACAGGACTGAATTGTCCCATATGTGACCCACCCAGGGCTGTTATCAGAGGCAGGAAAGCCCTGCCTAAGTGGAAGGGCCTGCCCTTCGTCTACGGAGAGCGCAGCCGAGACGTCTGGCTGCCCTGCGCTGGCCTGTCCCGTCCAGAGCGCAGCGAGAGAGGAGGCTCACCTAGGTACTGCGAGCAGGCTGAGAGGAGCTGAGACCAGCGGGAGGGATTCGACAGGCGAGGTTGGTGTCGCACTCGGCCTCCGGGTGGGTTATATATATACCGTACATCTGCCGCGGCATAGCCCCCCCCCCAGTGTGTGCGCTCCCTCCGTCCTCCCGGCGTGCAGAGGCCCACTGGCGGCGGAAGAGCCGGGCCGATCCCCGCGGGCCGCTGACTCTGCTCATCGCTTTGTTGAGGGGCGTCCGCTGGGCTGCCGCCTCACTCAGCACAAAGTGAGCCGTGCCCCCTGCGCCCCCCCCCCCCCCCCCCCCAGTATCCCCCCTTTGCATTGTGCGCCGACAGAGAAATGTGCTGAGCTCAGGCGCTGACCTCGGCAATCACATTCTGTGCGTGAGCTGGGTTTTCAGGACTTCTGGGGGGCTCGCTTGCCTTATGTGCTGTTGCTTTCCTCTGCGCCCTTACCTGTCGGACTCCCGGATCTCTGCCCTTTGTTCTTTGCACACTTTGAGGGTTCAAGCTGGTACCCCTCAACTAGTTGGCGGGGGGGGGCAGAAAGATTTAAAGTTATGGCAGCTGTACTCCGAACTGCCCCCCGTATTAATAAAACCCCTCATTCCCCCAAACTGCATTGCTCCCTCCCTGTCATGGATGCAGAACGATACATCCGTCTAGAAACACACAAAGACAGTCTTGCAATATACAGTGGATCAGAAGTGTGACTCGTAGATCTGTATTAAAAAAAGACTGAATTGAATTTCTTCCTGCAGTGGCAGAAGCTGGGGTTTCAAGCCTGTTTTGTTACTGAACTCCTGGGGTGGGCATACTGTCGACATGATCTCTCAAGCAGTCTGTTCTCCATCTGTGACTATCCAGTCAGTATCCTTGTTTTTGTAGGGCGATCTTAGCCTGTGTTTGACTAGAGAAGTTTAGCTACGAGGTCCAGTTCATGAAAGCGTGGTAGTATTACTGGGGCGAACAACTATACTGACTAATTAAATAGCAAGTAGCAAACTGGAACTCACAGCACCACTGCACTCTGTCCATGCTGTCAGAGGAGAAGGGGTTAATGTCTGTGTAAAGCAGTCGTACCCACAGTTCTCCTTTGTTCTTGTGGTTTGGACCTTTTAATGTAAGATTTAGGTTTTCTTATTACAAGGTACTTTTGCTCATCAAAATGCAAGAAAAGCCTGCCTTTCAATCAATGCTTTCACACATGCAGCAAGATCCAGGAGTGTGTTATGAAATATATTGCACCAGTTGCTCTAAATCCCAATCTGAAGCTAAATCCCGTCTTTCAGTCATCTTGTTTGTTATTTGGGGCCCACACTACTAGCTAGAGAAAAGGTAAATGTATCAAAATCAGCAGGAATTTTAATTTTTATTGGGATATTCTGGCAAATATCTGGATGGTGTCATTGACGTTGTGCAGTGCTGTACCACAGTTATTCTGCTTTTGTGTTGCCCCTGGTCCAGAACAGTTGGAGTTATTTCAATAAAAGTGCCCCCCAAATTCTTTACATCAGTAATTCAGATCTATCAACCAGAGGTAACTGATGAGGCTTCACTGTAGAATACAAATAATCTGATAAATACATTCAGTATAGACAGAGAAGCATTAAAAGCACAATAGATAAAGTAGCACAGGATGGATTTTCTAAAATTGGGGATGAAAGTCGGAAAGGGATGACAACAGCCAAGTTCAATCAGGCTCAGATGTCAGGAATTTGTATTAATTCCTGACATTCTTCCTCACCTAAAACATTATAATTATTCTACATTATCCCCCTCTCTCCCTCGCATACGTCTTTTACATCTCACCTCCACCCCATCTCCCCCTCTGCAGCTGCCCCTGGGTCACCCCTCACTCTGCAGGGGGCTCCCAGCCTCCTCGTCCTCTGGCCAGGAGGTCGGCCCTCAGCCAAGTGGGCTAAGACACATTTTATTGAATAAAACACTCCATAATCCTTTCAGTACGCTTAATTCTTGGGTGTTGTTCCTCCTAGTGAACATTGAAGTAAAGGATCCTTGTTTTTTTATCAGCTCCATCAGCGTTCAATCATGGTTTAATGGTTGTTGTACTTGTAGAAGCAGCATGGAAGAACACAGGGAGATTCACTGTCCTAACACAACATACCAACCCCATGAGCACATACCAGAATGGTACCCAGACATCTTGATATGGGATTGAAGGTGGTGGGAAGAATCTGCCTCTTGGATTAACATGGACAAGGGCAACTGTGTTTCCAGCACAGATTGAGGAGACAAGCTCACGTTCATAATAACACAAATAAGAATAGGCATAGTTACAAGTGTACGAGACTACACAAGTGGGACTAGGCTGCCCTTAAGAATATAAGAACCTTAAGAAAGATTGCAAGAGAAACCCATTGGGCCTGGAGCGTGCCCTGTTCACAGATTCTGTAAGTGAGTGTGTTTGTGGAGACGGCAGTGTGATAGGCCCTCTGTCGCAGGAGGGCAGGAGCTCATTCCGATTCATGGGAGATAAACCCAGTGGCTCAGGCAGGAACAATAGGTGCCAATGCAATGTGCTGACTCCAGTCCAGTTGGAAACCGGGGGCTCCATTCAGCCAGGCCGTGTATAAATAGCCCAGCTCGCACTAAGTCAGAGGACAGTTTTTGTGGGACCCCTCAACTCACACCACTATTTTTGGGGTAAGTCAGGTAAGCCCTCATTTCAGCTGTTTTGTTTATTCTGCTCATATCTTCTAATCGTTTCTCTCCACGGGGAGGGTGGCCAACATTACTCGAAGCAGAGAGTCGTGGTTATTATTGTTGTCTAAAAAAAAAAAAATCTGTTTTTTAAAGCCCAGCTTTCCCACTTCAAATTTCCAGATTTCAGTTTAAAATGGACTAGGCTGAACTGGCATTGCCATAAAATACAGAAGGCTGATATTTTTCTGCTGCTTTATCAAAGCACTGCAGTAGCTTGTGCATGTCGTTAAACGATACTTCGAGTTCACGAGGAATGACGTGGAAGTTTGTGTGGGTGACGGTAGAATCGTTTATTGAATTTAGAGAAAACTGTGGCTTAACCCACATGGCCTCCTGGCCACAGGTTGGGGAGGCCGGACCCCCATGCTTGCTGGGAAGGTGGAGATGGAGTGGAGGAGGGATGTGAAAACGAGTGAGGAAGGGGAGTGTGGTATATATGTGAACTGAGGTGATTATGTCAGGGTTAGGTGCAAGTTGCGACAGCTTAATTCATTCGGCTGCCTTCATCCCTCCTGATCTTTCATTAGAACTCCATTAAACTGAATTGAGTTAAAGTACATTAAACTGTGCAATGATAAAAGTAATGTGCATATAAGGCCTGCTGTCACATGCGCTGTAAGTGCTGTCGAAGCTTTCGGCAGGCAGAAGATAGGGTTCTGATTAGCACTTTATAGAGCCTTACCCAGTGTGAACTGTCTGAGTGTTTAATGGTACTGTGTCCATGTGTGATTAAGACTTGATCAGCTGGTGCTCTTCTGCGCCATTTCTCAGGTGAAACTGGAATGGTGAGACTTTTAAACTTTAGAATTTGGGTGTGGGTCAAAACTGGGCCTAGTTATGTGTACATATTACTGCAAAAATAGAAGCATCTGTATGGCATTATGTAGGCTAATGCATTTTTATTGTGTCATGCAACATATTCCTTTTCTCTGAAAAAGGTTTCACTGTACATAATGTATGATGCTTTCTGTCTTGATAATTGTACCCCTCCAAAGTTAATCGTCAGTTTAAAGAATTAACAATAGCATTCCCCTACATAGACCTATCTTCTCACAGATGCTGTCAGGTAGAGCCAGGCCTGAGACCCATTTCTGGACTTCTGTCCGTCAACTCATAGCTTAAATAAATAAGGATCTGTTGAAGGCGTCACCTGCACTGGCCTTCCACGGACAGATGTCCAAAGCTGATCAGTTCCAGGCAGTAGATGTAGCGCCCCCTGCCTGCCAGCTTGAATGAGTCCCGTCTGTCTCTACTGCTATTGCTGTCCGGGGAATTTCAGCAGATGGGATGCTCAACAAAACTCCCAGATGGATCATTGAAATCCTGTTATATATCAGACAAAGAAATGACCGACAGCCCACTGAAACATCTCGGAGGACAGCATTGTTAAAGACCGGCTCACTGCTCAGGCTTCCTCACACGTTCTCTCTGTTTTGTTCTGTGTCGGGCTGCAGGTCAGACAGCACTGAAATATCCGTCAGAATGGCACAGACCAATCCCATGCCCATGGGGCCGTGGAAGGTGAGAGATGATGATGATGATGATGGTTCCTTTCCTTCCTCTAGCATCACCCTGCTCATGTAGGCACTGTCTCCAAAGGCACTGTATGTGCCCGAGCACCCCAGTATTCTTGATCGTGTCCTTGACGACGCTGGGGGTGAAGGCAATTGTACTTTATTCCTGTGCCATAGGATTACCATAGGACTCCACTGACAAAGTGCTGAATAACTATTACATCTTATCCTGGACTTCATAGTCAACTTACCTGACTGTTAGTTAATGATGATTCACTTGATTTATTGTTTATTGGTGAAGCAGAAGCAGCGCATGATCACTGCTAACAAGCGAAACTAAAAAGAGATCAAGTATAAACTGTAGGTATTTCAGGACTAGTTCAATTTGTCATTTGAAAACCCAGGCCTAAAAAGATGGGGTTTTTTTTACAGTATCTAATCATGAATGAATCTAATGGCAGTTAGAGAAGTGCTTTCTTAATGTGGATACATTTTAAGATGAACACCACTAATAATTTTGAAACACTGGTGTCTAGGCACTGTTGCTATAAACCTTACAGATTGACCAACAGTGTGAGGATTTTACATCCAGTATTTTCTAAAAATTCTCAGCAAATTACTTGTCTGCTGGCCTTGTTTTCTTATTCTTGATGATTGTGGTCCTGTTGCTGTTTTAAGTAAATAACAAAACGTGTCAAGCAAGCTAAAATGCTAACATGAGTTTAAGGAATATTGTAGATAAAATTGTACTTTTATATGAATATAAAGTATGTATTAAACATAGAGCATTAAACAGGGATGACATACTATATATGAATGAAGAGCTTAGATGTAAATTAAATGACAAAAATGAGAAGAATTTTCCTCTAAATCATTAATTCTGTAAGCTTTAAATTGCTCTCTCCTGATAAATCGGAACTCATTTAATGATTATGTTCTTAATGTATAATTCCTTAACCTGTAACCAAAATGTGATATATTTATATCTCTTTCTCAAGTGAACAGGTGTTTCTTAATTATTTTAATTGTTCTTGGAAAGTCATTTTTTATCAGAACAAATACATTAAATCTCTCTCATATTCTCCATGTTCCGTGTGCATCCGTGTCAGATCACGGTCTATGACCAGGAATGCTTCCAGGGAAAACGCATGGAGTTCACCGCTTCCTGCCAGAATATCATGGAATGTGGCTTCGACAACATCCGCTCAGTTAAGGTGGAGTGCGGAGCGTAAGTTACAGTACAGGTCACATCCTGGGCTCAAACTGGGCATAACCTTGGCACACAGAACTCACTGGACACTAACTGGGCACTATGTGGCCTCACAGCACTCCCTGGGTACCAGCTGGGCACTAAGTGGGTACATAGCACTCACTGGGCACTAACTGCACAACCAGTAGTCACTGGATGCATTATTCACTGGGCACTCTCTGGGAATACACTACTCAAAGGGCACAGATCACTTCACCTGACACTCCTGTTATTCACATATAGAGACAAGCTCTGGTCACACAAACATTGTGTGGCAACACAGATTATTTAGGCCTGAAAACAAAATGTTTAATCTTTGGAATGATCAGGAAGTGAAGTCACCAACATGTCCCATTCATTGTTATAAATTCCAAGCAAACTAAAGAAAACATTTTAGTTTGCCTTAGTCCGAGAAGGCAGAACGCATGTTTAATCCATCTGGTTTCTGCACCGTGTTCCCAAGGTTTCAAAAACAACAAAAGAAAATACTACGGCACATGCAGAAAACAATTTCATTAGTGTTCTTTCTGGTCAAACTAGTGCCCCCAGCTGGTGATCAGCATTTGTCAAGAAAGTGAAGCACGCTGTAGCCTGTGGCGCTTGTCTGTCATTGCAGCTGGGTGGGCTATGAGCACTCCAGTTTCTGTGGGCAGCAGTTCATCCTGGAGAGAGGAGAGTACCCCCGCTGGGATGCCTGGAGTGGGAGCAACGCTTATCACATAGAGAGGATGATGTCGTTCCGCCCCATCTGCTCAGCCGTGAGTACAACCCTGAATGTTGAGCCCCCCCCACAGCAGGAACACCAGCGCTCACCCCCCCCCCCGCTCAGCTCCAGGAGGCTCGGACAGCCCTCTGCTGATTAATATATTTCCGTGGCTCAGTGACGGATTCCAGCATTCTTGCATTCTCGGACATTAACCCTGCCGAAATGACCTGAGGAGCTGTCACAGCAGCAGCGATGACTGTGGTTGAGGAATGCAAAGCGCTGCATGCTGGGAAGGAAATAAAAAGGGGATGTGCTCGTATAGGGGTAGGATGTTACACCAGGACTCCACTGGTCAAGGATTGTGAAAACTGACCACAAACCAAGATGGTGTCTCATGGGATGCATTTTCGTTGTCTGGAATGGGGGCAGTGTAGCATAATGGATAAGTCTCAGGTCTCATCACTGCTGACTTGGGGGTTGAAGTCCACACTGTGGGCCTGGAGTTGTACCTTGAGCTCTGTACTTGACCCCTGCTGCTCCAGTCAACACAGCTGTATGAACAAGGACCAGTATTGCTGGAGAAAATCCCTATATTAAATCAGAATATGTACTGGAGGAAGAGGGAAGACTCACCTCCTCTCTTGTCCTCTAAACACCATGATATGGTATCTAATTCAGGTCGGCCCACTATTTTATACCTCAGATAACCTACCCTCTGGTACAGAGGAAATTGTAGCACTCAAACGTCAGAGTATAAAAACACAAAGGAGGTGTAAACATATGGTGTTATCTGCATCTTCTGTAAAAACAAGGTGTCAGTTTAGTCATTTTTAACAAATAAGCCAAACACATGAAGACTTTAAAACCTAGATGTGACAGGGCAACCCAGCAGAATTCATTACAATGTTGAAACCCTCTAATCATATCCCGGCCAGCATGGTTCTCTCGCCTTCTAAGAATATATCCTTTTCTTATTGAAAAGTCATCCGAAGCTGCGGTTCATTTTAGGGGCAAGATTGGATCTCGTTTGTGGTAAAATATTACTGCAGAAGATCACAGGAGGTTCCTGCATCGCAGTGCGATTCCATGAGAGTTCTCGAGGAGTAGTTGTACAGTACCAGCCTGTGACGGGTGTCATCTCTCCCTCCCCCTGCCGACGCAGAGCCACAAGGAATCCAAGATGACTCTGTTTGAGCGGGAGAACTTCATCGGGCGCCAGTGGGAGATTTGCGATGACTACCCTTCCCTACAGGCTATGGGCTGGTGCAACAATGAAGTCGGATCCATGCAGATCCAGAGTGGCGCGTGAGTAGAACTTGTTAAAGCTACCCAGCTCGCCCCCAGAAACCTGCCCAGGACCGAGTCTGTGCTTATTATGAAAAGGGTACTTGCCCAGATTTTATCAGTTGACCAATACAATGGCTTTCCTTTAGATTTTTCCTTTTATCTACTCCGTCTCTATGGGTCTTCTCCTACACGGTTTAAAAAAAAAAGTTTGGTGATACTTCAGTTTTCATTCCACTATACGCGTGAAGGAGCTTGCTTTTGTTGAGAGACTCCAGTCGGTTTAAGTTAAACATGCATGTGCCAGACAGGACACACACACAAAAAAAATAATAATCCACGACAGCTGAAAAAGCATTTCTGACCCTTGACCTTTGCCCTTTCCTCCCAGCTGGGTGTGCTACCAGTACCCTGGTTACCGTGGTTACCAGTATATCATGGAGTGCGACCGCCACGGAGGGGAGTACAAGCACTGGAGAGAGTGGGGCTCCCACGCTCAGACGTTCCAGATCCAGTCCATCCGCCGGATCCAGCAGTGAGAGGGAGCCGCCCTCTCCTGACTCCATCGCCCAAGTCCTTTTGAGCCAAGAGGAGGACTGCAGGCTGACACGCTGGTGCTCCGTTAGAAACGAAGCAGGTTTACATCACGATTTCCCCACCAGAAAACAAGCCTGTCTTAGGGTGAAGCTCGCTGGACTTATCGTTTCCATTGTACCTTCTGAACCAGTATGATAATAAAGAACGAAAAACGTTGACGCATACCTGCTGCCCCCTGTGTTTCTCCTGAAATACTGCACTCTCCTTGCCTCCAGGCAAAACATGTCATAGAATACAGTCTGTAGATGACGCAATTTATTCAAAATTAGGGAAACAAAATCATGCTGTTGCTGTGATATTGCAAGACCTTAAGCCTGTTCCAATTTAAAAATTCTTTCCAGTTGTACTTGTATAAAGAAGAATGAGGTTCTTTTGCTTTATCTTTCCTTGCGAAAGAACAAAGGTTATAAATGGGTAATTTTTCCAGTAAAGGAGGCAGGCTGTGTAAATCGACAACATGTTTAGCAAACCCGATCCCACAATACTTTGCATTAAAGTGGCTCCTGTTACATTTTAAATGCCTTTTTCTGTAGAGAGCCAACCAAGAACAATGAGGATTCTGGTGCTTCCATGTCATGGATTCAATCTCTCTTCCCTACTTCCAAACTGACCTTTGCAACCAGATTGCCAACACAGGCTCAAGTAAACAAGAAAAGCACAGCTTCCTTCAGAAGGCTCTTTATTAAGATCCCGACAGTTTTCATTGAATCACAATCAGGGAAATCCTAAGAAATCAGAGGATTGTAGAAACCTGCAAAGAAAAAAAAAGAAAATTAAACCAACCCAAAATCAAAATAAACCTATTTTTCCAGAATTGAAAAAAAGATCAAATCCAAATTGAAAAAAAAAAACACTCACTTAAAAGATTAATCTCCTATTTCAAAAGTGGCAACCAAACTTTTAATACATTCGGTTTATAAGTACCTGTGCTAATTCAATGCAGCATGGAGATGAACTGGACCACCATTCACCAGCAATAAGGTCATATTTGACCAATTGAGGGATTTTTCTAAGAGGGGGAAAAAAAAGTACTTTTATATCACAGGAAGTTCATAGACGGCACGTAGCAGAATCCATCCACATTCATAAAAATGATTTCTTTAATACCTACACCACCTCCCTCCTTCACAGCAGTGATCACCCTCAAACAGCACCGCAAACTCAGCAGCACTGTAGACATGCTCAGTTTCAGACTGGTATAGCAAGGAATATAAAGATGTAGAGGCCATTATTCAATTAAAACCCTGCAGCAGGGTTGTCCCATCTCAGCTCTGTAGGGCTAGTGTCTGCACGTTCTCTAGGTGCTGGTGTTCTGAAGAGACCAAGAGCTGGGAGATGCCTAAATTGGCCCCATGCTGGCAGAGGTATCTGCACTCTGTAAGTGTAATAATAAAGGGAAGCTATAATGCAGAAACACAGCCTATCCAAGACAAGGATTTCCGACAACTTCCGACACATGAGCTCACCTGCTCCTGGACTGCAGCTCACATTGCACTGGACCAAGTCCGAGGGCTGGCAGGCTGTCGCAGTACAATGGAAGTAGATCTGCAGAGGAAATCACGAACAAAACTCGTTAGGGTGTCCTTACAGCCTAAACTGCTTTCATGCCGCGTATGAATCCAGATAAATGAAAGAATAAAAGGGCTGCTTACCAGATCATTCAGTGCTTTATTTTCAGCTGGATCCAGGAAGGCAAACATCTTGGTCTGAAAGCGTTTGTAGTGGCCGGGGTATCGAAGCTCTTGAGAGACGGCGACAGGAATCAGCTTAGTTGAATTAAGGTCCTCATTTGGAGGACACCTGAGAGCCAAGTAAAGAACAGAGGAGACCAGAAAAAAATGGCTCTGAGGTCAACTGCAAAACACAAAAGTCCCTTAAACTATAGATCTCACAGTTGTGCTATAGCCAAACAATGCACAGAGGTTACTGTGCCTTCTGAGTAATTCGTGAACATTATGGCCCTTTTATGCGTGGTACATAAAAATGGTGATCATGCATCTGCTTGGACTAAACATGATGCTGTATTACAGGGCTGGCGTGTCTGCAGGCATTCAAGGTCTCCATGCAGCACCAGCACCCACAGAGGTAGAAGAAGCACTTCCATTGATCCAGTTCAGCCAGCCATCAGCCTTCAGAGCGGAGTTCAGGATCGAGACTGGACACCCCTGCTTTATCGGGTATGAAAGCCATCGCAGGGCGGTAGTTCAGCGAGGTGGCGGCAGGTAAGGCAAAGAAGGAGCTTACCCATCAATCAGGAGGTTCCAGTGGGGGTTGCTGAAGGGGCTGGGAGTGGCTGTGGCCCAGCAGTCGTCCAAGATGAGGTGGATGTTGGGGTCAGTCCTCCCCACCATGCGCACCTCCACAGGCACAGGCTGCTGTAGCTCTAGAGTCACCAAGTCCTCACTGCTGGGGTGATAGGAGCTGTAGCTCTCATCTGGGGAGACCAGGATGGAGAAATACTTCTACATAGACATTTATCCTCCTCCACCCTTACAACCAAAGCAATATTTATTCACTGTAATGCCCTTAACAACAGTTGGCCACTGAGTTGCTTTAGTTTCTATAAAGATCACCCTCTGCCCACCCAGCAGTAAGAAACTCTCTGCCATGCTTAACTTCCATGAGGCAATGATGACACTGTGCCACCAAGTTCACCCAACCAGCTGGGAATTCTGTTTTCAGCTAGTGAAGAGTTTAAGCAGGTACTAGAAACGGTGAAAGAGTTCCAACAGTCAAGCGGGGGGGTAATTTAAGAGTAGCATACAAGATGAAAAGTGTCTGGTAATGGTTCAAGCATTCAGACTCTCCTAAATCTTAGTTACAAGCCCAGAGGACTTCTTAAAGCATCCAGCTCTCTGGTCTGCGGTACCTTTCGCTATTCGGAGCTCCAGGTGAAGCGGGCCGTACGCCGTTAAAGACGGAGGGAGCGTCGGAGACTGAACTTCAGCTTTCACAGACAAAGACTTGTTTGCCGGATAAGAGCACCGAATGGTCAGGCTGGGTGGGGAGACAGGTGAGAATGACAGAAGGGTGGGAGTGGTGCCCACTGGGTTTTGAAGAAGCAGAGCGTACAGATAACGTACAGGCACCCTCTCCGAGACAGAGGTTACTGGGGGGGGGGTCTGATATTAAACCATGAAAAAGGGGTTTTCACAGCAGCTGAATCCAATTGCACTCACTCCAGTGCCACCCTTTAAAAGGCAGACTTACTGAAAGTCAACATCCATGGTTATCACCGCAGTGCGACTGGAGACCGACATCTGGTTCTCATAGACTAGCATGTTATCGATCTCCTAGAAAACCAAAAATGGTTTAGTGTGGGCTTTGCCGAAGCGAAGCTCGCATTCCTCCTCCACCCCAGATCAGCAGTGCGGTGCACGATGTTTAAAACCCCCGCCGTTTATTAAATGCCTCCAAACCTCAGCTCAACAGACATCGCAACACGGCTTGAAAAGCTCTTGCCTTGGTGGTTGTGCCACAGCTGCTTAGCGGAAACCTGAAGAGCACAAAGCCGGGAGTCCTTGAGGCGGGCGAGCTGCAGGGTGCGGCGGTGTCTTCGTTCAAACGGAGCGACTCCAGTCTCAGCGGCGGCTGGGTCACCGCCTTGCTGACGGCAACCACCGCGTATCCGTCGCTAGTGCACTCGACAGTGACTGGGGGGTTTAAATGAAGAGCGGAGACATGAGGAGAGCGTCGAGCCTAAAGAGACGCCGGCGATGAACCCGAAATTGCTACAGCGCATGCGATCTTCAGTCAACTAAACCCCTCAAGTGCAAGGTGCGAGGGATACAAGTCGGGCGAGAAATGAGGAAAAAGCCTCAAACGCCTGCAAGGATAGGGTCACGCAAGTGTGTGTGACTGTCGGGACGCTTGAAGGCGAACGGGTAAGACTCACCGTCGTTTTTATAGAAGCAGCTGGGGTTCACGGAGGAATCGAAGCAGCACTGTTTAGCCCGGCAGCGGGCCTCGCCGACTTGCGGCTCCCCGCAGGCCAGCGCGTCCGCCGGACGGACACTGCAGAGCTCCGCCGCTGTCCGCTGCTGCCGGCCCTTGACGCGGTCATCAGGGGAGGCTCCCAGAGGAAAAGAGGAAAGTCCGTTTTTACCTCCTGCCGGTCCGAGCATCTTTTTTTTTTTTTAAATAAACCCCGAGCTATCATTCCTTTTCCGGATAGGCACCTCGCACCCGTTAACATAATATCACCGGACCAGAGGGGTTTACAGAAGTGTGAACACTTGATAGAGAAGCTCATTACCTGCAGAAGTAGATACTCCGGGATATCCTAAAATTTCTTCCAAGAACACACAGAGAGCAAGGAAAAGCGATACCAGCGACCCACTGTGAAAGTAAAGCACCTCCATCGCCTTTGCTTATCAATCCAATCCCAAGCCCTGAGAGATATAATACTGGCCGATAGCGTACATTTTAAAAGGAGCACACCGCTTAAGTCTTGACGTAAATCAGATCTCCCCCTTCCCTGTACAATTCTCCTAAATCCCACCTCCAGATCATTATCAGCTTTAATCTACATGTGATTTATGGATCTTTAAACCTAACAAGCTTTCCCTAATTATCGCTTAAAGCACACTCGGCAACAGTTCGCCTAACCAGCGGATGTGACCGTATTTTGTTGTGGTCAGTTATGTAGGATTCATGAGGATACGCGTTAACACAACGGTATAAACAGATTTGTATGGTCAATTCAGATATTTAGACACGTTCCAATCGACAGCGTTCTCTTAAAATAACCAGTAAAATCAAACGCTTCAAATTTTATTCCGAGTTTCCGCCTGACCTCGGTCACGCTAAATTAGTGATTCCAAACTCCTGTTCTCGGAGTCCGGAAACTGGCAGGTTTTCTTGCCGTGCAAGTGCCCCGCGTTGAGGAAAACCTGTAAGCAATCAAGCAAGCAACGTGTTCAATCAAGAACTCTTTATGCCAGTCTTTCAGGACTGAAGTAGATGGTATTGTAGCCACATCATATACAGATTTGCCCAGCGATCAGTTATTTCATGTAAAAATAGCCTTCAAGATTGTGGAGTTTCACGGTTTGAATAGGTTCCCAGTATTTTTACAGCACAAACTACAGGCGTGTTGTGCTCTCAGCAGGCCATTAATAGGACCACTGGCTTGGAGGAGGGGCTATAATGATCCTCTAAGACTCTATCCTTACAGGTTTTAGCCAGATTGACTTGTGGCTTTTTCTGCCCCTGCTAGGGTTTGATCCGGGTCAGGTACAGCACAGCTCCCTGGGCTAACGGGTGTTGTCACTTCTGCACCTGGTTCAGTATTTCCACACGCCTGCTTTGTGTGATCACCATCCAGTGGTTCTGCGTCGTTAGGAATTTGTGACTAGATGGTTACTTGTAAGACTGGCCACACTGGGGCTCCTCAGGGCTAGAGCTGGAGTCTCCTTCCTGAGTGAATAAAGTCCTTTAAACAGATACTCTAGCCAACTGTATCCAGCCCCATGGTCGACACCCCTGCTTCTGAAGAGCCACAGTCCAGCAGTCGATACGGGCAGCTTTAAAAGATCAGTTAGAGTTCAGGAGGAATGTCCTCACTTGTTAAATAAGCAGCTGGTTGGTCCAGTGGAAAACCAGACCTAGCTGGAACCTCTCTCTCCGGACAGCAGAGACACGTCTCGAGTCAGTCTCACCACGCACCAGTCTTCCCTCTGGAGACCCTGGGAGTGCACCCAGCTTTGCCACATTCACGTCTAAGGCTGTGGGATCCAGGTGATACTGAACACCACTGAACCCAGGAGGGCCAATTTGTAGGTGTCTAGTTTATTAAGAGGTTTAGAAACTAAAGAATTTCTGGCTAGTATTGGTCACACTAGGAACCAGTATCACACCATATTACATATACCATAAGAGACAGTTGTATCTGTGGACAATGTATGTTACAGCCACTGACACTAGACATTTCTTGATGTATAAGAAATTGATAACTGCATCTCTGGATGTGAAAGAGTAGCCTCATTGCCACCATCCCTGCAGCACAGCATAAACCTGTTCAAGTTGCCATTTTGCAGCAGCCAGCATCCTGCAGCCACATACCCAGCCATCTGTTACTAAGTGGAAAAATAGCCTTCATGCTTGTGGCATTTTGTTGTGTATAGAGGATGTAGAATTGCAGGAATTCAAGAACAATCGTTTGCCACTATCTTTACAGGCGCAAAGCTACAGGCCTGCAGGGCATAAGAGCACTGGCTTGGATGATGGCCAGAAGGAACCTTGAGAAAGTTATCCTTACAGGTATTAACCCAGATTGAGTTGTGGCTTTTTCTGCCCGACTAGGGTTTGATCTGGGTCAGCTGCAGCACAGCTCCCTGGGCTACAGGGAATTCCTCTGCCGCAAAAGAGCACTTCTCTGCCATTGCAGAGGAGAGGTGTTGTCACAAGCAGTGCTTTCACTGGTTGCTTCATTTCTTTCAGAAGCCACTCATGAGCCAAGAAAGGGTTCAGGAGTTTAAACACCACCCTAATCAGTTCATGCACACTTAGGAAACAAGGCCTCTTGCATAAGAATTGCTCAAAGTCAGTGGACAAACAGTAAAGGTTCAGGAACCACATGACAAAGTACAAGACATCACCCTCCTGCCGTTTTAATGAAGGCAAAGACTTTATTGTAGTGCTTCCAAGTATGTGTCAGAGACAAACATGTTAGATCTCTCCCCAAATCACAAGGGGAGAAGTATAAAGAGGCAAAACTACAACTACAAGTTGCAGCAAGAGCTCCAAAGAAAAGAATGAGCTTTACTGCAGCTCCACACACAGGAACGTCGGTTATATCTTCCGTCGTCTCAGGGAGATGAAGGCGAGGACCAGAGCTACAAGCACAACAACAGGTGCTGCCACCATCAGCCCGTACACAAATGTAGACGCTGCCAAGAGAGGATCTAATTAAAAAAAACAAAAGAAAAAAAAAAAAAAAAAAAGACAGATCTCTGAACCAAGCCAAGTACCCTCAGTATCTTCCTTAATCTCCGAGTCTTCAGCCAGGATCATAGCCTTGCTTGAACCAAGGAAGGTCTGGCTTGAAGGAATAGTCCCTGGTACAGCAGGAAGCAGGCGATGAATAAAAAAAAAAAAAAAAAAACAAAAATTTAAAAATAAAAACCGCAAAGTAAAAAGCAATAAAAAAATAAAAGCAAAAACGAGAAGACTGAAAAAAACAACAACAAGTACCAACTAGCAACAAACAAAAAAGTAGTAGACAACAACCACGGCGAAAAAAAACTACAAAACAACCAGGGCGGCATAACATAAAAAAAGAACACAACAAACAAGGAGCAAAAAAAAGAAGAAAACAGCACGAAGAACAACAACAGTAGGAACAAAACAGCGACAAAAAAGGGGCTCTTGAGATGACGGGTCTTGGTGGAAGCCATTGGTTACCAATTTAGCAATTAAAAGGGAGTCATGAAAAGACAAATAGCTTACCAGCACTCTCAAGTTCCTGTTCAGCCTTGTTTGCGTCACTGGTCACTTTCACAGCCTCTAGCTCCTGCACAGAGCCTGCAAGAGGGTTCAAAAACAAACCCAGGGTCAGCTTCTCTAGGCAAGGGGCAGGAAGGAGGAGGAGGTACTATAATGGATACATACCCTTGTTTTTGATGTCTACGCCAGTCAGGACTGGGACGTCTGGGGCAGTCAGCACTATGGCATTGCTCGACACAATGACCATCTCCCGGGAAGCAGAATGCCTGTCTGCACAACAGGTAGTATAAAATCAGGAGCAATAGAACGATTCCTTACAGTATATAGCACTATATGGACACTCCAAAGGTAATGGGGGATCCCTTCCACCACCAGTGTGCAGCCCCACCTGGATGATGCAGCAGTACTCTCCCCCCACACCAGCTCTCAGTGGGGAGGAGAGCAGAGTGATGAAGCCAGTGCAGAGATGGGGATAAGAGGCCATGATTGGTAAAGGCCAGGGGGAAATTTGGCCAGGACACTGGGGTAACACCCTGGGATTTTTAAATGACCAGAGTCAGGACCTGTTTCACAGCTCATCCGAAGGGGAGCATCTTGAATAGTACATCCTCTTCATGATACTGGGGCATTAGGACCCACACAGATTGGGGGGCAAGTACCCCCTACTGGTCCCACTAACAACTCTTCCAGCAGCAACCTTAACTTTCCCAGGAGGTCTCCCATCCAGGCTCAAAAGTGATGAGCAATTCCATTGACCCCCCCCATTTCTCAAAAAGCACCTCTACTTTAGCAAGGGGAACTCCCACTAGTCACCCCAGGGTCACCGGCAGAAGGAACAGGACTGGGGTTATCAAGAGCAGCTTCTGCATTCGACTTGTGCCAGACCGCGGCGTCCCACACTCACCGACATTTCCGTAATAACAGAAGTTCCCATCAAAGCAGCAGCTCTTGGCCTCGCAATCGGCTTTTGAAATCCCTCGAACTCCGCAAGCGAACCTCTCCGCGACCACACACCGCCCACCGGCACCGTGCGGCGCCACCTGAGCGACAGGCAGCCCCAGGCAGGGAAAAAGCAGGAACGGATACAATCCCAGTCCCACGAACTTGCTGAATGCCCACATCGTCACTTCACTCAGCTACAACAGAATGAGGAGCAGAGCCGCTGACATCTTTATATAAGACTCTGGCACGCGCAGGGCACACAATTGGTGGGTAATTAACACGGGACGATCCCTGCGGGGGGGTGGGTCGAGTTGAGAGCATTGCTCACGGAGTTTCTAGGTATTTTATTAATTGCCTGCTATATTTCCAATGGAATGAGAGAGCGTAGTGAGAGTCGTAAATGTGCTCCTGACAAGTGAAAACAAAAGCAGCTGAAATTCATTTGAAAATACGAGTCCAAACTTTTTTTTTTTTTGCAGAGGGGGGAAGGTGGAAATTAACCATTATTTTAACTTTCCCCAACAGTTTCCGGAATATATCCCAACCATATTCACGGAATTATGGATCAAGTCAAGGAACGCGTTGATTGGAAGCATAATTGGAATCGATTATTGTGATTTTTGCAAGCCGCCTGAGCAGGGCCTAATCGTGAGGGCACAGATATTTGTTAGCGGTTGACGCCGGCAATGTCCGTGTCGTGAAACGAGCCTTGTGTTTACAGGCCCGGATTGGCTCTAAATCCTGTCGGCACTTAAACGTTAACTGCAGCTGCACGATCCAGCCTGTGAGGGATCAGCGGTCGCAAATCTGAATTCCACCTTTAATGAGCAGACTCGGAGACCATTCGGACCGGTCCACCTTAACTCGGAGCCTTCTCCCCTCCCATGTCGAGGGAAAGAACCTCCCACGGAAAAGGTTGAAGGGAAGTTGCAAGTAGACGAGAAATCAGATCGAGGAACAGGCGGCGAGACAGTGAGAGTGAGAGAGAGAGAGAGCGCTGCAGGCGGGGCGGCCCGGAAACATGGCGAACCCACAGTGCCAACAGCTGCGCCCGCAAGCTGCGAGAGGTCTTCACACGTCTTTGCTTGCGAGTCTTCTCCTCGTCCTGGTCCTCTCCGCCGGCCTGCCAGCCTGGGGCGAAGCGAGGGCGCTGGCAAGCCGAGAGGCGGAGGACCGGGCCGGGGTCGGGATCGAGGAGACCTACGGTAAATACTACAGCTACTCCGAGCTGACCGCCCTGCTCAGCTCGCTAGCCCAGAGGTACCCCCACATCGCCAACCTCTCCAGCGTGGGCCAGTCCGTGGAGCAGCGGGAGCTGTGGGTGATGCGGATCACGAAGGACCCCGCGGCGGAGCTGCCGGGGAAGCCGAAATTTAAATACGTGGGGAATATGCACGGGGACGAGACGGTGTCCAGGCAGGTCCTGGTCTATCTGATCGAGCACCTGCTGGCCGGCTACGGGGCGGACCGCCGGCTGACCCGGCTGGTGGACGAGACGGACATCTACATCATGCCCAGCATGAACCCGGACGGCTTCGAGAAGTCCAGGGAGGGGGACTGCCAGGGCGAGGCCGGGGGCCGGGAGAACGCCAAGGGCAAGGATCTGAACAGGAGTTTCCCCGACCAGTTTGAAAAGATCCAGGTGCCGGCGGAAGACATCCCGGAGGTGGTGGCCGTCATACGCTGGATTCAGCAAAACAAGTAAAGTTTCAGCCCGGATCCCGCTTGTTGTGTGGCAGCGATAATCCCCCCCACTCCGTTCTCCTTATTGTCTTCCCCCCCACGCGTGCTATATTCTTGTGATGAGCCGGGAAGATAGCGCGGTTACACTGTGACCATTTCACTTGGCTTTGCCTTGTCGCGGCAGTCGCGGTTGTGGAGCTGGGAGACGCCGTGGTTTCTTAGGGAAGTCGCGGCAGGGCGATGCCTATCTTGCCGGTGCCAGATGTGAAGCGGGCCGCCGGCTGGCTTTTTAGCGACGGTGCCTTTCCGATTCGTGCCCTCACCGGTCAAGGGGTCACCCGAGGGGGGGGGGCGGGTTCAAAGTTCAATTGTCGCGCCGGGGACGTTTGTGTGCGGTTCCCGACAAGCTGGGGCGCTGGAAACGACGCTATTTCGGACATATTTGCTTTTTTTAAAAAAAAAAAAAGCCTGCGCGCTGCTTCTTTTCAAACGAGGAGGGCTGTTTTTGTGCAATTGCAAAATATTCTCCTCTTTGGGAGAACGTTGTGTAGGCAGGCGCAGATCTGTCTTAAATAAGTATGTCGCATCCAAAAACATTAGGTCGGTTTTGTTTTGAGAGTTTAACGTGGCCTAAAGGAGGTGAAACTGGCAATCATACTTATTTTTTTTTTGGGGGGGTGGGTATTAAGAAGTTTAAAGGGGTGTACATTTGTGAAACAGACGCTCACAAACGGTCGTGCGGTGGGTATGATCTTAGAGTTTTATTTTCAAGCTGGTTTCGTATTTTCTATTTTTGGGCGGGCAAATGGGCGCACTGCGAGTTGCGAACCGAGGTGCTTTCCGGGGGTCGGACCCCCGGCTGTGTCCCCCGTCTCTTAAAGGACCAAATCCCCCCCCCCAGGTTCGTGCTCTCGGGCAACCTGCACGGGGGCACCGTGGTGGCCAGTTACCCCTTCGACGACTCCGCCTCCCACGAGCCCACAGGCCACTACAGCCGCTCCTCGGACGACGCGCTCTTCCGGTACCTGGCGCGGGTCTACGCCGAGCACAACCCGGTGATGAGGACGGGGGCGCCCCGCTGCGAGGACACCCCCTCCGAGACCTTCACGGACGGCATCACGAACGGAGCAGAGTGGTACGATGTGCCAGGTAGCGTCGCAGGCCTCTACCTCGTTCTTGGTTGTGCCTGGTTGGGTGATGGGGGGGCTCTCCTCCTCTCTTTTCCAACAGTTACCCCCCTCCCCCCCGCCCACACACTCTCTTGTTTTCTCCATCTTTTTTTTTTATTTTGAAACCCTGGACGAGCTGGTTGCCGTGGTGACGGCACCTCTGTAGATGTATGCTAACCACTGTGCTGATTTTGTCACAAGGAGTTGCTGTTAATGATTGAAGCTGTTGTCTTTTGTTGTGTGTGTGGGGTGGGGGGGGGTGGGGGGGAGTCAGGTAATGATTATTTGATATTATACAACATGCTCCCCTTTTCTGGTTTTCCTTTAAAAGTGTTTCTAGTCACAGCGCAGCTCAGCAGAATGTGGATGTCTGATTCTCTGGGCAGCAGGCTGCATAAGGCTTTTCTTTCAATCTTCTTGGAAGATAAAATCAATAAATCCCACATAACACCAGTGCTCTGCCAAAACAGGAAATCAGAGGGTTTTGATTTCCTGTTTTGAAAAAGTCTCCCTTTTTTTTTTTTTTAAACTGGATAGTCACACATGTAGTTTAGGTGGTGCATCTGACTGGGATGACACATTGGTTTCTATGAGCGTCTGTGCTGAAGTCAAGAAATCTCTGGAGTTTGGGTGACTGCCATACGTTTTAAAATGATCATGCGGTGTGATATTTACTGAGCTGGACTTGGGTACACTTTTGTCACGAGAAATCCTGTAGCTGGTGAAAGCTGCTCTTGTTCCTGTAGGTGAATGTTACCAATTCAGTCCACCACTGTGTAGATGTTTATCTCATTGCGTTCGAAACGCGTACCCCATCTGTAGCCAGAGGAGCTGTGAGAGCAGGCAAACTGTCCTGAGGGCTGCAAGTCTCCAGCAGGATGGCCTGGAGTGGGACAGCAGCCCTACTGCCTTGTAGCTGGAGTTATTCAGATCTCAAAAGCACTGGGATGGGAGATCTCTGGAAAACCAGGTTGCTGCTCTAAGTGGTGTTAGTGGACCAGTAGGGCGTGTTCTTCTTTCTGGATGAGAATATCCAAGCCCTCGTAGCCTGTATGGTAATCAGGGAAGCTGCAATAGGAGACGTTAAGGCGAGGTTTGGAAAAGCAGGTGTCTTGGCCTCAGAGTCTCTGGGTGTGTGCAGCCCCCTAAAGTGGTTTCTCACTCCTCCTCCCCCTGATCTGTTGTGTGCTGGGACTCCTGGTGCAGAAGGGACGCCGAGTATCGAGTCCCAGTTGGAGCTGCACTTCAGTGATGGATGAAGCAGGACCTCTCCTATAAATAACTTGATTTGGGACGAACAGCACTCTATAAATGCAATTACTCATTATTAGTCCTGCAGCCACGTGATGCACATGGTGTGCATGCTAATGTGTGTAACTGTAGGGCGGGTTGGGTACTCTTCATGTCTTGGTTCCTGCACTTGTTTACCTTTCAGCTAGAGATTTTTCGGGTTGGGTTTCAGTCTGGCTGGAGGCAGCGACGTTAGCCCAGCTTAGTGCACACACTCCCATGTTATTACCCAGCCCCCAGTCCCCCGCTGCCTCTCGGACAGAGCAGGAACCTGATCGCGGTTGCTATTGTACAAGGAAGCCTGCAGCTTTGTCGCTAAGCAGCAGAGCAGCGTCTTGCGCACAGGTTCAATTGCACAAAAGGTCCCCTTCCTCCCAGGACCTGGTAATCATTCATCCTCTCCTGGCTGCCGCCTTGTGAAGCCTGTTCTGTGTTTGCATGGTTGCCACTCGCTGTATTAGTGAGGTTTTTTTGACCGTGCATGTCAAGCTTTGTTCTTGGCCTTCCGAGTGAAAGGTAAAGTGTGTAAAGGCTGAATTCCCTTTACCGCAGCGATTGTGCTTGGACTGGTTTTGTGTACTTTCTCTGAAAGGCGCGTGATGCTCCAGCCCCTAAAGAGTTAATGGAAGGTGTGAGGGATTGCTACACCTGTGTGGTCTCCTCCTGACCCGGACATCCGCCTTTATGGCTGGCTTATTTTGTCTTTACTGCTTTCCAGTCTTGCTTGACTCATTTTATTTGTATTTGATTGCTCTTCGTAAAATGTACTCGCTCCAGGCATGTTCCGGAGAGCAAAGAGGATGTGTTTAGCATTCTTACCTGAGGAGGGCGAAGTGTTTAACCTTCACGCGGGGTTTGTTTGGCAAAGGGGTCTGGATTAGCAAAGTAAAACCCTTTGGGTGAGGGAGTGTCAGGATTCAGTAGCTCGTCAGGTGGTGGGTGTGAAGAAGGAGGAAGAAATTGGTGAACAAAAGTTCTCCACATCTGCAGTGCGGGGCTTTTGGAAGCCGATGTGTTTTGGGTGGTGACCACCCGTCTTTAGGATAGAGAGCATTTTCCTTGAAGTTGATTTATTCATATTTAATCAGAGATTTGAGTCCGGTATTACATCTAATATAATCTAGTAAAGTGAGCTTTCCAAAGGCTTTTTTGGGGCTGGAAGGAGGTGCCACATTGGAATTGAGGATAAAGCAATGATTCCCCCCCGCCATTTAAGTCCAATGCCTGGAAAATCAGGTCATGGGGAATAATAATTATCTGGTAATGACGTTTTGTCTACAGAGCAGAACTCCCCCATATTACTCCTAATAAAGTGCTTCCTCTGAAATGCTCTTTTTCCGTTTTAACCACCACCCCAGCTGCTTATCGGCCAAGGGAAGTTTGCAGTTTTACTTCTTCTGAAATGCTGAGGGCCCCTGCCATTCTGTCCGTGCCCTGAGCGTTCCTCTGTAAACATCCTGCCGAGAGATGGGAGGGCGTGTCGGGGCGGGCAGTGAGAAGGAGCCTGCCCCCTTTCCTGTCCTCCTCCAGTGCGGTTTCATGAGCCAGGCTGGTGTGCTCTGGTGACTCAGTCAAGGATCTGCAGCTGTGTACAGTTATCCGAAGCCTTGCTATTATTTGGGATGTGCCTGCGGAATACCTGAGGAGTTAGGTAACCCCAGGTTCGGGCTGGGGGAGGGGCTCAGGAGGTACTGACCTGACCAGGTATGGCGTTTGGGAGCAGGCTGTGTTCGTGGAAGATTGGATCCAGCAGTTACCTGTATCGACGGAGACATGTGACCTGTCTCAAAGTTGCTGAAGCGGGATCTGCAAGCCTTTGGCTTTTACTTTACTGTGTTTTTTTTAATTTGCTTCCTCCACATGCTGTCAGGCCACACCTTAAGAATCACAGACTCCGCAGACATTTAGACAATTGAAACGTCCTTACAGTTATACCACATGACGGCATAATGTAACTAATAAAATTGAATTATTACTTAGTGCAAGGCGACGTGTGTGGAAGATGACTCATTGCCAGTGGTTACAGTGTGATTTTT